AAAAAAAGAAATTAAACAAGTTACCCACAAAAAAAGATTTATCTCATACATTCTCAAAAATGTCACATACATCAAAAATAAAAAATACATATCCAAAAAGTTAATATACCTTTTCATCTTCCCACTGAAAAAAATTGCAATCTTTTCTATCTCTACAGGCTGAGCAGGCATAAAACCTCCGTGTTTCTTCTTTCCCTTGGCTCACCTTTACAAAGAGAAGAGTGGGTCCTAGTTCCAGAATAGGAAAAAAACATGTCAAACAAGTCATCCACATCAAGTTCCTACTTTTCACCACTCTTAATTAAAACTTGTTTTAATTGTATGCACGCTTTGTCCCTACTAAATCCACTAAAACGTTTAATTTTTTTTCTTCTTCAAAGTCACAACATTCTAGCCCTGGCTACCTAAATAGCTTTTGGAAACTGGTCTCTCCAGAAGGAAAATGCTATCGTCAGTATAGTTGCTATCTACAATACATGGTGAACGGCCTGGGTCCTGAGACTAAAACAAGGAGGGGGTCCAGGGAATCCAGCACTTTGTCCCCTCCACTTAAGTTTTCCTTTCAGTGAAAATCTGAGCTTTTAGAGTTGGACACACTCTCTCTCCACAAGTTAGAGAAAAACTGGGTCTGGCTTCTGAGCAAGAATTCATTCTATCATTCTCCCTAACTTTTTTTGGTTTTAAAGATAGCAAATCAATAAATGAAATCCCCAAGTACTTCGGCAATGGAATTACCGATAACATGCATTCCCTTTGCCTAACCTCTGCCTCTTCCCTTAAAAAAATAAAATAAAGATATAAGAGCCGTGGAGCCAAAACCACAACAGTGAGGTCGTTCTATGATGGTTTTTAAAGTAAGTTGAAAAACACAACTTCCCGAAAAAGGGGCGTTTTCTAGGCATTACACACGGTCGGGCAGAGAAGCTGACGCCTAACCCACGCTCCTAGACGCCCGACAGCCAGGCTAGGCCCAGACACGGACCCACCGTGAGGGCACAACGGGGCGGGGGTGGCGGGATCGGAGGGAAGCACCACTTCCACTCCCGAGCTCCCCTGGCGACTCGCGCTCCCCTCGGCCTCCACAGCTCCAAGCTGGTCTCTGAGGGCCGCCATCTTCCCGCCGCCGTCCCGAAAGCCTCAGTTCAAGAAACGAGGAGGCTGAGAAAGAGCGCCGCCATGACTCGCAGAAACTCACAGCGCCCCCGCGCGTCCGGGAGGAGCTGCGGCCGCCGGCGCGGAGGCCACGCCCCCAAACGCAGTGGCGGCCAGTCCTGGGCTGCGCCTGAGCGCTCCGCGGCACCAGAGGGAGCGACTCGCAGGCAACTTGTTGGACCTGTGTACAATAAGCTCATCTATTTTCTGCCTCACCCTAAGCACATGTAAGTACCTTCTTGTCATAAGAATACAGCCAGGAGATGAGAGGGAGGACTCTTTGGAGCAAAGATTTGGTCGGGTTTAAGTCCAAAGGGCACCATCACCACCTCCAGCCCCTGACTATAGAAATAGCTGAAGCATCTGCCCTTGATGAAACCATCCTCTTTTCAAAATCAGAGGCAGTGTCATCTCCGACCTTTTCAATGTTTATAGTTGCACGTTATAGTTGCATATCCGTTGACATTTTATATACTATAAAGAAAGAAATAAAACTGTCCCTATTTGTGTCTGACAGGATTATATATGTAGAAAATACCAAGGAATCTACAAAAATAACTCTAGTTTAAACTGAGTTCAGCAGTTGCAGGATACTAGATAAACATACAAAATCTACTGTACTTTTATATACTACAATGATTACATGAACCAAAGTTAAAAATAGAATATCAGTTACAACTGCTCAAATGAAATACTTAGGTGTAAATTGGGACTTGTACAGGACTTGTATGCTGACTACAAAATGTGGATGAAAAAAATTAAAAAAGATGTACATAAATGTAGAGACATACTGTGTTCATGGATTAGAAGACTCATCATAGTAAAGATGTAAATTCTCCCCAATTTTAGGGCAAATATAGTACAGGTTTAGCTCAATTTCTATCAAAACCCCAGTCAGATTTTTGTAGATACTGACAATATTATTTTGAAATTTATATGAAAAGTCAGGGGAACCAGAATAGCTAAAGCAATTTTGCAAAATAATAAGAGTGGGAGGAATCTATCCAATTTCAATACTTATTATATAGTTGCAGTAAACACACATGTACTATTGTAGATGAAAGTCAAATATCTCATTGTATTTAAAGAACTGATGGTATTTGTATATATTTAAACTTACACATTTAATGCTATGGTATATTAACTTAGCAATAGTGCTCTTTTCCGTGTACATTTCATGCAATGGTTTCACTCAGATCTTTTACCTGCACCTGTAGCATCTGGTCTTTGACATAACAATTCCCCTTTTCAAGTGGCTAGCACCTTTACATCTTTAGGATAGGGAACTGTCTGGACCCATGTGTAATGATACTTTTGGAAATTTTATCTCAAGACCTACCAGTTCTCATTAACTCTTCTATTTAAAAATGTTGAAATAATAGGTAGAGATTTGTGATCTTTAAGAGACTTGTTTACAAAACTTGCAATTGAATTCAAGAAATCATACCACCAAAAATAGTTACTGAATCTATATTTTCTTTTTGTCCCTTAAATAATTCTGATTCTGTGAGGTGAGTTCTATAAGCAACTCAAACCAATATGGATTTGCAGCCTTTACAGGTAGGCTTCCCCAAACTGTAAAAGTACAACAAAGGTTGTCCAGATAAGGTAAATGAGAGAGCACCCCTTAGTGTGGGAGACTCGGAAGGTTTCAAAAATAAGGCAGTTCTCTCTTTTCTGGGGGATAATTTGAGGAGGAAAAAAACTCACATTCAGACATGTAAATAGTATATGGTGAACATTTGCTGACGAGGTCATGAATATGAATGAACAATGATATGAATGTTTCATTTTATCGTCTAATAATATTTTTAGTTTGTATAAGAAAATCCTTGAGCAAAGTGGAGAGACGTAGCAGGATTCTCAAAGGAAACCCATAGCAGAGCTGAAAGTAGGCCCCTTGAGGCCTGAGCAGAGATAAACCCATTCCTACCCGCCCTCTCCCAGAGCACAGTCCTTTATGCCCTTAAGACAGGCTCAAATTCAGCAAATGTCCCACTGGAGGATGTGGACAAACTAGTGAGCTTCCCATAGGGACCAGGATGTCTCACTCCTTGACTTTGTTAATAGGTTAAAAATCCTCCCACACACCCGCCTCCCCCAAATTGATTGAAGCCAGAGGAGCATGTTGTAGTGGCTGCCTGACCCACTTTTCTATCTTCTGTTACAGAACCCAGATTTCCTTTGGGAAGCCAACCCTCACCCATTTTAGCCCATGTAGCTGGAGAGGTAGAAAGAACTGTAAGGACTTGCTTCGGTTTGGGCAGGTGACTTGGGGAATGGCTGAAAAAGAAGCTGTAATTGTTAGATTTTGTCAGCTTAGTGGCATTCATAATACTGATCTGTCATGTGTCTGAGGGGCTCTGCTCTCGTCTTTCCTGGGCTAGGTCACACATCTACTGGTGGGCTGGTCCAGGTTCCCTCGGCTGTGATACCTCAGCTCTGCTCCATGTGTCTTGCTTCCTCCCTGCAATGATCTGAATGTTGATGTCCCTCCCATACTTGTATGTTGAAATCCCTAAATCCCCAAATCCCCAAAGGTGATAGGATTAGTAGAGCCTTTTGAGAGGCGATTATTAGGTCATGAGGGCTCTGCCCTCATGAATAGCATTAGTGCCCTTTTAAGAGGCCCCAGAAAGCTCCCTCGTCCCTTCTGCCACGTGAGGACGTCAGGAGAAGTCTATGACCCAGAGAGAGCCCTCACCCAACCTTGCTTGGACCCTGACCTTGGACTTCCAGCCTCCAGAACTGTGAGCAATACATTTCAGTTGTTTTTAAGCTACCGTCTGTGGTACTTTGTTATAGCAGCTCTGATGAATTAAGAGACTCCTCCTGGAACCAGGGGCCAGCCTGGCACTTCTTTCTCAGAGATGGTGGAAGCACAGGAGAGCTAGGAGAAACAGACAAACTTCTAGAGGCCTAGGCTTGGAGCTGCCACTGTCACTTCCACCTCATTCTTTTGGCTCAAGCAAGTCACATGGCCAGGCACTGTGAAGTTATATGATAAAGGGCATGGGTCAGAAAGGGGTGAAGAACTGGGGCCAATGACACAATCTGTCATAGACGCCCTCTTCGCTGGGATAACCAAGTGGCTGGTGGCAGTGTTTCCCCAAACTTAAGGAGTACTAGCATTAGCAAGAAGTCAGTAAGAAGCAAGCAGAACTAAGAGACGGGCATGTGTGATACCATGTGAGCACCTAAACACAGCCTTGCATGATGTTTTCAGTTATAGTCACAAATTCCTTTATCTCCTTATGCCAGTTTGAGATGGGGTTAGTTCTATCAGTCACAACCAAGGATGCCGACTAATGCTCTATGGCTGCAGCCATCATAATGGATGGATGGATGGATGGATGGATGGATGGATGGATGGATGGATGGATGGATGGATGGATGGTCTATTAATATGGATTGAAGCCCCTTTCCAGGCAAGACCAGCCAGCCCTTCTCTCCACTCGCCCCTGCCACAGTTCTGTCAATCTGCCTGCTGTCCTCCACTTCATCTTTTTCCTCTTCCTATCTTGGGTTCTCCCGTTAAAGCCCTTTAAATTAGACTAAGACAGATTAAGAAGAGAAAAACGAAACAAAATCCAAAAAAGACCCCCAGAAGTTTATTAGTTTATTAACTGCATCAAGCACACACATCGAGACACTTAGAGATGATTAACTCAAAGGGGTGATTAGAACTTGGGCTTATATAGCATTTTAACAAAGATAAATTTTTAGAGATGATAAGACAAAGGAGGACTTTGAGTTGCTAAGGGTGGCAAATTGTGGAAAGGCAAATATATGGGGGGACTAATGGTAGATGAAGGTTAGCTTTAGTAGGACTTGTTACGTAGATGCCTCTGGTGCCCTTTCTGGACGCATGAGGGTCCAGTATTGTCTCCACTGATTCACTTCTGTTCTTCCTGGTAGAGAGGGGAGGGGCAAACATCTTTACAAATTATGTCCTGCTTTTAGGCAAATAGGGGAAGGCAGAGAGCTTTTCTTGTATGCGCTTCTTAACTGCCTTTGGATTGAAATAATCCTTATACCAAAGTGGCATATTTGAGAGTGGCATATTCTGCCACCCTTCCAGGTCTTCATTTAGAGTCCAAGGCTTTTTCTACTGCTTTCCTGTATAGATTATCACAAGTTCTACGTCAGCGGTGACAACTTGTCCTCTCTGAGCCACAGACTTCAAAACTTAGAGGTAATAATATTTGTCCTCAAAACATATTAGGGTGGACGCTGTCCAGGAAGTAAGCAGTATTTTAGCTACAGATGCAGAGAATTACGCATTTCCAACTCCTCATGGATAGCAAGTGTAGCTGGAGCTTAAATGCAAGTGTAACTGGATGTTAAATTGCTTAAGCACTCTGCGAGGGCAGTGGCGACCTTGGTTTAAACCAACACCTTGGTTTAAATGCCGTTCCTGATTACCTTTAAGCACCACAATTTAAAACAAACACCCAAAGGGTAGAAGAGCTTTCTGGATTGTTCCCAAAGTCACACCGAGAGATAAAAAGCAGCTTTATTCACCTGCATTAAGTGCCACTGAATCTGGTTAAACCAGTTCGGAGGCGAGGGAACAGCTCCAGATGTTTATACAACTTTCTGAAAGGCGAGGCAACCTGATTTTTCTGCTGTTTCCGAGGGCAGCAATGGTTTCTGAAGCCTTACCTGTCAGGTGGGAATAGGTAACCAGGTAACCAGAGCTGAGGAGCAGCCAGGGTTCCTGGAGTCAAAGGAAAAGTAAACACATCTCTTTGCTTACTGAGTAGATCAGCTGCCTCATTTTCATATCACATGCTTTCCATTTCCAGGTCTAAAAAAGCCCACAAGGCGACATGCAGAGGCACCAGTCACCAACTTCCAGGTTAGCATTTCATGTGCTGGAACCCGTGTCAGGATTCTGAACAAAACCCTTTTAAAATGTTGCTTAGTTTTTCTCAGCGAGTCAGGTTTGGATAAAACTCTATTACCTGGGGACCTCAGGTGTCTTTTCCTTTTAACCCCAAATCAACCTGTGTCACACAACAGAAAACTTTAAAATAGTCTTTTGATCCCAAATCTGTCACTGTGCTCCAGGAAAGACAATGTCAAATCTAGAAATTTGCGTGTGGACATACTCCCTCTATGCAATGCGCCCAAACCCCAAAACACGGATGCATGCCTTCTTACATCATTTAAAACCAAAAATGCCATTAATTACACACAGACAGCTTGTCGGCTGGAAACCTCATCTATAACAGAAACTGTACCGCACTTTTCACAAAAACATACTTTGTTTCGTCCTCGTTACAAACCTGGCATCACCATTAGCTCGTGTATTTTACATGTGGAGAGAAAGCTGGTCTGGGAGATTGCGAGATCTGCACAAGGACACGGAGCTAATAAGGGGCAGAACCAGGACTTCGATACAGGTCTATTCCAATCTCAGGCTCTTAGGAGAGACCTGGGGCATACCATCCGTTTATTAAAGATAAGCAATATTAGAATGTAAGTGTATGGTATTTTGAAATGACAAAAGTTTTTTCTATTACACTACTTAGAATAAAAACTTTAAAGCTTAAGAATTTATTTTTCTCAAAGAACTCTGCGTGGATTCTGAAGCAGGCTAAAATGTACTAAATAAAATGATGGTGATTAATAAAGCAGTTGGCTTAGATAAATTCATTTTTGTGATATACTCACACTTGATCCATGGGCCAAGAGGCTGAATGAAAGCCATACCCTCCACAATCCAAGAGAAATCTAGATATTGAAAATATGCTTCTATTATAAATAAAAATGTTGCGAGCTCAAGTCAAGGGCAGTCAAGCATTTAGTTTACAAAGTATTTACAAGGCAAGGAATTTACAATCTAAGAGGCGAAGGTAGAAATGTGCAGGTATAGGACATACAAAGATTAGGAAGAACATTATTCCTTAGACAATATTTTAGACCTCTTTCCATTTTCAGATTTTCCTTACCCCTTTGAGCAGTATTTGAAGAGTAAATCCAAGAATTGAATCTTACTGATTTTTGTATTCCTACTACCTTTCTGAGAATCTGGCATACAGAGAATACTTAGTAAATGTTTGCTAAAGTCAGTGAGTAACTTATATCCATCATACAAACTGTTTTCCATTCAGGAGCTGGGATTTTATAAAGGAAATGAAAAAGGGCTAAAGCAAATTCATGTATCTGTCATGACTGAAAAGTGAGTGGTTTGGGATCACAACTACATAGAGAACCAACAGCCTCGCAGTAAGCAAGACATTTATCTGAGGTCAAAACAATGATTACAAATCCAGGGTGAAAAGTTCCTACACGTTACTAAGCAAGCCTCCCAGACCACACTTGAGAAAATATTTAGAGGTCATATTCTTCCATCAGGAATATGACTAAGAAGGTGGCTGGGATGACAGTAATGGTTAAGGTAGAGGCTGGGCTTGGTCATATTAGAGAGACTAAGGCATGTGTAGGTTACTGTTTTACTTTGGGTGGTGTTATGGACTGAAATGGGCGTACCCCCAAATTCATATGTTGAAGGCCTAATTTCCAGTGTGACTTTAAGCCATTCAGTCTGTGGTATTTTGTTATGGCAGCCCTAGCAAACTAATAAAGGTGACAAAGCATTTATATAAATGTGCTCCCATAGAAAAGCTTATTTTTTAAAGAAAAATGAAATAATTGAAACATGGAAAATAACAGAGAATATAAACAACACTCACTAACCTACCACTCAGAATTTAACAAATGTGGGCATCTCGTGATATTTGCTGCAGATTTTTCTCAATACTTTCAGTTTGATGTAGGGACCCTGTACATCTTTGGCTGGACTTATACCTAGTACTGTTTTGCTGCTGCTGGAAGTGGCATCTTTCTAAATTTTCTAACTAATATAAACCTTCCTAAATTTACTTAATTCTAATAGTTATTGGTAGAGTCTTCTGCATTTCCTACATGCATACTGTCATTTGTAAACAATGCGTTTTCTTACTTTCCCACCCTTATACCTTTCACCTCTCCTGCCGTTGCTGCACGAGGCTGTACAGTACAATCCCGAATAAGACAAATGAAAGCAGGCATCCTTGTCATGTAACTGATCTCAGAGGGAAAGTGTGGGAGGCAGAATAATGACCCCCAAAGATGTCCATGTCCTAATCTCCACAATTTATGCATATGTTACATGGCGAAGGGGAATTAAAAATTACAGATGGAATTAAGGTTGCATACAGCAAGGCCTTACCATAGAAAAATTATCCTAGGCTACCTGGGTGCGCCCAATGTAATCACTAGGGTCCTCAAAAATGGAAGAGGGAGGCAGAGTCAGTGCCAGAGTGCCTTGATGAGGAAAGGATTCAACCCATGGTAGCTGGCTGGGAAGATGGAGGAAGAGGGTGACAAGCCAAGGAATGCGGGAGGGTTCCAGAAACTGGCAAGGGCGTGGAAACGGATTCTCCCATAGACTCCAGAAGGAACGCAGCCCTCCTGACACCCTGGCTCCCCCACCAGCTGAGTTTGCCACTAGTATGGACTCCTTTGGGGCTGAGTACATGCCAGCAAATTCTGGGTTCTTTGGCTCTTAAGACCATTCCAAGTTCCCCTTACTTCGCTACGCTTGCTCCTCTAAGCCACTGTTCCCATGGGATCTTGTTGCTATTGATGGTTTTAGTCCAAACTGCTCAGATGCTGGGATTCACAGGGCTAGTCTATTACCTAAATTAGTAATGATGTCACTGTTTTTTTTCTTTTGCTATACGTATGATAGCTCCACGGGGATTCGGAGAGATTAAAAAACTACCCACTGCTGCTGCCAGTGTACCTCTTATCATTGATTTGTTATTTAAAAATGATTTGCATTTTCTATTTACATTATAATGCCCACGATAGGACAGACTATGCTTTAATAACTAATAAATTCAAATTTTTAGTGACTAAACACAAACATTTATTTCTTGTTCTGTCACAGTCCAGTGAAGTCAGCAGGATCTCCTGGTAGCTTTCCAAGCAGTGACTCACGTACCGTGGCTGTCTCCGTTTTGCAAACTGTTTATGGCCAAATAGGAAGACAGGAGAGCATTCAGTCATGACCACTGATTGTGATGGCAGTGAGTTTTATTGCCAGGTCTGGAAGTCACACATATCACTTGTCCCCACATCTCACTAGCCAGAACTCAGTCACATGGCCCCAAACTAACTGAGGGAGGTTGGAAACGTAGAGCAAACTGAGAACCTTTGTCACAACTTTGTATAGTTGCCCAAGCAACTTTGGGAAAGAAGGTAGACTATAAAACATAAGATGCTGCCTGTCTCTTTGTATATCTGTGATATGATTTAAGATGTAATCTGATCAAAGAACACGTCACCATCATTTTTTAATAAAGTTTTAATACCATTAGTACAGTATTTTAAATTAAAAAAAAATTGTGAATCAAATTGTTTTCTAGTCTGCAAGAAAGCATGTTTCCACAGTCTTCAATTGCTGACAAACTTGGGAGAGAATAAGGCAGCATATAATTAAATAAAATTAAAATGTCTCCAATTATAAAGGTTCCAGTTAAATATATATTTTGGAATTATAAAGAATTAAACTATACTGCTAATGTAAGAAGTAAGAAAATGGTTGTTTGGCATCATTTATAAACATAAATATGTTCACAAACATTCTAAATATTCAATATATATACTTCAAGAGGAATCTAGCCTTAAGACAATGATTTTAATTACCTTTAGTCTACCATGTTTGACACTATAAATATACTTATCAAAAAATTAACACAATATTTAAATAAGAATTAAGTTCATGAAAATTTACAAAATATAACCAATGTACTCTGACTTGTAATCACATCTTAAATATTTCAACTTCACTTTTCTGGCCTGGTCAGGCCATTTAAAAATATTTCCACGCTATTTTAATTTTAGGATATAAAACAGTAGCAATTTACTAAGTTTTCCCATTATAAAAATTAATATAGCAGTTCTCAAAATACTGAGGAAACAAAAAACTTTGATGAAAGCAGTACCCACATCATAACATCTTAGTTCTTTTAGAACACATTTCAAAGGCACATTTCAATTACTAGTATTTATCTAAAGATAGTAGCTTCAGTTACATTTCCAGTTTTCCATCACCTCGACATTAAGATGATGGAGGATTGGGGGAGGTAGGAGAACAGAGGTTTTCAATGGACTTGCACTTGGACAGCAGTATTCTCACTCGCCACGTCCATAAGGACCAAGAGAAAGATGCGAAGCAAGAGAGAACTGCAGATCTGTCTTCCATGCTAATTTAACCTTCAGGAAATACTTTTTACACAAAAACACTTAAATTAAAAAAAAAAATCACAAGGCAGAAAGCTCAAAAAACAAAAGGCCAGACCGCAAACCACCCAGTTTAGTCCCAGTGGTGATGTTATTTGTTTGGGGCCTGAAGAAGAGAAGGAAATTCTGATTCTTGGACTCACATCTTCATATTGGGTTCTTCTCGATTTAAATCACTTGGTGAGTTAAAAGTACTACAAATTCCCAGGATGTCAGACATACTGATATTCAAAATCAATATAAATGACTTTATGGTTATCTCTGTCATGGTCCCCTTTAATTAGGGCTGATATTTTAAAGCTGACTGTAATTATAACAACATTGGTAATTTCAAATTCCCTAAAATACTATAATTTTTAAGAGTTTATGTTCTAGGACCCCAAAATGCAATCCAATATGCACTTTGAAGTATGGTTTACTTTTTGCTGAAGATTAATACTAAAAGAAGTACTTACTTGAACATTAGTACTCTTAGAGTACTAACTGATTAAGTAATTGATCTCAAGCAAAAAACAAAAATTTTTAATGCCATTTTGGAATTTCAAAATATTAAGGATCTACCTTAATTTTATATAATTCTCTTCAATTCTCAGTTGAGTGTTTCCATTTTTTAAAAAGGGGTTATTCGATTTTTTCTCAATATAACAAAATAATTGACCAAAAATATTCTGAAGTACAAAAAAGGAAATGGTCATCTGTTACTTAACCAAGATATAATTTTCTAGTCCCTAACAATGGTCACGTTAGGAGCACTTATTCAAGTTCTAAAATAGCAGCTTTTTAAATTAAGGCAACGCTGCTTTATTCTTACCTGTTTTTCTATTAACTACTCTGTTAGAGTTCATAAGAACAGTTTCACTCTCGAAGGTCTTTTATAATGTAAGATGAGTTAAAATGAACATTCTTCACAATGTTTAAAAAGTATATAAAAAGTTATTGTATTCAAAGTCAACAAATGCCTTATTTTTCTATTTGGAATTCTAAAGTAATTACAGTCATTTCAGAATGTGTAAACCATGAAATTAGTTTTTAAACTAACATCAACAACATAAAATACAATTTTCCTACAAAAATACAATATGGGAGATACACTTCTTCCCTGAAATAGAAATTTAATATTTAGACAAAAAACTGTAAACTTTTGATTACATTCAAAACATAACCTTTTAAAGACTTATATTATTTGAGGTTTTGGCAACTGGAGCTCTTAACAGCAGACTTACATTACTGTACAGTACTGTAATGTAAATCCATCTTACATTTTAATAACACAATAATGCCAGTTCGTTTCTCTTACTCTTATACTTGCTACCAGGAGGAAAAAAATGGCTTCCTGCAATGGAAAGTCTGGGTGAAAGTACTGCTGATGTGGACAACCCGACCCTGAGTTCTGCCCCGACTGTGCTCCACAATCACACAAGGCATTTGTACCAGCTGGACAGGGCTCTTCCCGTCTCTCAATGCCTGAGAAAGATTTAAGATCTGTGAAAAGAAGAGAGATATTACACCATTCAAAAAAGATAACGACCTTCAGTTCACTGACATTATGTTGACCATTTATCTATAATTACAATTTTTATTTCAACCATTTATGCCCAATAGAGATTGTGATGAGTGATTGCTATAAATACATATTACATGGATGTATGTAATTTTATACATACATACACAATATTTAATTCTGTGTACATGTATGTATGTATAAAATTAGAATAACTTTTGCCAATTGGTAACTTTAAAATATTCTACAGTGCACCTACATCCAGGAGCAGCGAAATCAGAGACTGAATAAAGTGAATGGTTCCACATACTCCATTTGACATAGAACCTAAACAAATACTGGTCTAAATAGTCTGGTTTTAACTAATTACTGGCCTTATCCACTCTTCCAACTGATTAAATGCACGACAACTGCGTGTTAAGCTCTAAGTGCTGGGGATACAACAGTAAAAAACCAAACCGAATCCCTGCCTTCGTGGAGCTTGCATTTTAGCAGGGGGAGGAGTCAATAATTATGAATTATGAATTCATAATTATTCACATTTTGAATAAGTAAATTATACCACATGTTAGAAGATAAGTGTCATGAAGAAGCATGATGCAGGGCCAGTGGGCAAGTGGGTTAGAGACTGGGAAAGTGGCCATTTAAAATAAAAGTTTTATGTAAGAGCTTACTCTTAAATAGAAAACACAGAACTAGGGAAAGTGAAATATATTACATTCCAGGTTTACACGTACCCTTGGAATTGCTACTTGAACATATAAATAAGTTTATGAAACGCAATACATAGCTTACAGCCTATCCTACTGTTCAGAACACATAAAATTTTAATAATTTTTCCCTTCATATCAGGTAAAAAAATTCCCTTTGTTATGTACTTTAGAAATAAGGATGTTTCCTTCAGGTATTTGGAAATATCTAATATACAGATGATATGCATTTTACAGGTTCTTGTAAAGACTATTTAATAGTGATAAGCATAAAGGTTTCAATACAAAACCATACCAATAAATGAACTTCACAATATTTTAAATAGTCTAAACTAGATGGTTTAGATCCTAGAAGATTTAAAGAATGTAACACATTAAGGAATTATTTCCAACAACAGTAGTCACTCATTACATTTATGTTTTAGGATCCCTTTTAAGTTAGTTCTTTCCTTAAAATCTTCTTGGGTGGCTAAATCTGAATAATAAGACAAAAAGATTTCATAAATTTATACTTAGAAGCATTGTTCTTTTTTTTAAAATGAAGAAAACTCAATGCAGTGCTCTTTTAGGATATGGTAAGGGCCAGGATTACATATCGTATAAGTATTGTTCTTACCATGAAAATAAAACGTGGGCACCAGCATGGCTAAGGTTTAGTACATCCTGGTTAGTTTCCTCTACTGGTTTTAAAAATTCTGCTCTAAAAATGTTAGTCTAAAACCACTACTTTACGTAACATCTAATATTTTCCTGACTCTTAAAACAATACATAATTGTTGTAGAGATTCTGGAAAACAGAGTGGTAAGAAGAAAATGAACATCATTCTACAAGATTAACAATTTTCAAATATATACTAACAGCAAAAATTATTCAGTCCTAAAACTATCCTAAATATTAATATTTCTCTGGGAGATGAGAAGGCACTTGATAATCTTGCATTTATTTACTAAAGAAACACACTGAGCACACACTGTGTTGGGGCAGACAAGACTACTGCCCATAAAAAAGATCATATAAGCCCTCAAAGTGCTCACATTCTAGAAACAACAGCCACATGAATAACAGCAACAGTGGACTTATGCCCTGACTTTAAAATCTGTTCCTCTCCCTCACATATCACCATTTTTTCATTTCTCAAAGGATAAACAAATCTATTATTACGTTTTTTTCCCCCGATGAGAACTGAGAATAACCCAGCAGAGTTACAGCCAACCTGCAGCACTCATGTGTTATGTTTAAATCAGAGAAGATTATTTTAGAAATAAACCAAATATTGCAGACAAGGAGAAACATTCTGGAATTCTCCAACTATGCTACATTGGATAACTTGGTAGGGATGTGTAGTTACGTGAAGGGCAGATGGCGTAAACTCGCAGATTTCTTTCCTTTAGACTAGTTCACTGGTCCTCAAATTTTAGTGGGCATAAGAAGTACTATAGTATCTCTATAAAGCCACATATATTCTACTTTATGGTTGATCTAGCCATTTTTTAATAGTAATGTGCCCAATATGCTGATTTTAACATCAAATTTCTGAGTAAAATGTGACTCCGTGGTACTGCCAGAGCGTGCCGTGGGAACCCGAACGCCCTGGGCGGCAGGAGGAGCCGCCTAGGGAGACAGAGCTGGGGCGTGAAGGAAAACTGCTCTCCAGAGGAAGAGGAAGAAGCACCTGGGGAGAGACAGCAAGCAGGACAGCATGCACAAGGGCACCACTGGGAAAGGCTTAGGGGAAGCTGCAGATGAAGAGATACCGGCAGGTGGACAGGTGGGTGGCAGGCTGTAAAGGGTCTTGTCGACTGTGCTCAAAGTTGGGACGTGAGCTTGTACATGCTGAGGACTCGTAGGAGTTTTACGTCACAAGGGATTTAATTGGATTTGCGTTGAGCGACTGTTCTGCTCTAATGTGGAAGAGAGATGGGGAAAGAGGTAAGGACACCGCTTAGAAAATGACTAAATCCAGGGAAGAGATGATAAAGCCTGGGCAGAGGCGATGCCTAAAGCTGTAGATTTGCCAGACTAAGACAGACCCCTTATTTTACAGATGTTATTAACCCCTTTGAGCCAAGTTTCCTCCACATACAATGCAGACAACTATGGAGAACTAATATAAGGATATATGATAACAAACATAAAAATATCTAGTTAAGGGTCAACTACTCAGGAGGTACTGAAGTGTTAGGTTCATTTTAACAATTGTTACTGGATCTGAAAATGAGATTCTGGTTGACAAATCATTGAGTACAAGTTCACTGTGCATTCATAATACAGTTTGATTTATTATTTCTGCTATTTTTTTCAGATCATATATAAAATATATTTCACATTGCCCATAAATATTTTCTGAGGTCTAGTGTCCCAAATAGGCACAGGGAGAATGGGAAACGCATGATCTCAACGAATCTCATCGTGACCTACTGCTATTTAATGTAAAATTCAAAACATGGTTTATCTTTAACTTTCATAAACGTGATGGTTACTAGTCCCAATTTTAAAAGAAATGCCTTCATTCTAGTTCCTAGTTCCATTCTACGGCTTCATGTGAAGATTGAGAGCATGTCACTGATGATGTGTGCAAAACTCAAGACTTACTATAAACTGGGGCACAAGACTTGGTTGTACAAAGCACAAATCATGAAGTGAAACTGGCAAAACGGGAGAGGAGAGGGGCTTAAGGGATAATTATAAATGATGGTAAAATCACAAGTATTTTGACTCAATTAAGGAACTGGCTGAATAATGATTCTGTTGTTTTGGAACAGAGGTTACTATTATTTGTTTATGTTTGTTAAGTCTCTGTTTCATAAACACTGATTTATTTTAGTAAATCACTACTTAATTTTTCACACCAGATTTAAAAAACAAAAACAAAAACAGTATAAACTAGAGAGCTACATAATCATGTACATGGTTAGGTTACCTTACTCTTTCTGGCCATCAGAATGGTGAAAACTAATTTAAAAAAATAATAAAATTAAGTTAAAACATATAAAGAAGGTATCATTTTATTTGTTTCTGTCCCCAGATCTTGACCCTGTCATTTTTCTATTTTATTAGGCATATTTATATAATACTTTAACTCCTTTGTGGAGCCAGGATATGAATAAAGAAACCTAAAATAACAGATAGACACTGGTATATCTTTGTAATAGACCTCAGTACCAGAATGGCTCTATGTCTTTTTAGACAAGCATTTTTTAATTTGAATTTAAGTTCCTTATGGACTAATTAAAGTTTGCAAAATTAGTTACAACTTTCATTTTTTAAAAATATTCCTAAAATAAAGATATATATTTAGGGGTAAGAGAATTCCAGAAGATGGAACATACTGATTAATTTGTTTCAAGCAAAAAGGTCAAATTAGGGCATAAATATCTACACCTGGTAATTTAGCTCAACTATAGTTTGGGTGGTAACCCTCTGCAACATAATCCCAACCAGTGATCATCTAAGCCCTTCATTCATGCCTGAATTCTCTAAAACAGGTCTCCAAGAGGCTCCCTGGCTCTAGACGCCTCCTCCACTGAGCAAACCTGCACCCCACTGTCTAGCCTAACCTTCTGCAGTGGTTCTTAATCTTTTTGGAATAGGGATCTCATCTGCTGAAGTATAAATCCATTTGCTTACCCCCATGCCCAAAAGACACATATATACAGAATTTAGCACACAATTTAAGGGAGTTCATAGAAGATGCCCAGGATGAGGTTAGTCTCATCATAACCCTTTTTAATGCTAAATCTCTCACTGTTCCAATCCCTTCCACGTGAAATCTATATTCTGGCACTTAAGGCCCTTCATGATGTGTCTGTATGCTACTTACTGCTCCAGCCATTTCGCTTACTATTTAAAACTTATGACTTCAGCAAAGCACTGCATAAATTCAACGGAGCACAGAGATGTACAAGCTAATAACAAACCCCTTTCCCTAAGCCCAGCCTCATCATCAGAGCAAGAATTCTGTGGGAAGACAAACTGGGTCTCGCTCACTGCTTTATCTCAATGAGAACAGTTTCTTGCACTAGTTCTGACAATAAATACAGACGGTGCCAAAAAAAAAAGTATATATATTTTAAAAAAGGAAAAAACTATTAAAATTGTAATATTCAATGTATACTGATAACAAAAGAGGAATACAAGTCATGTTTGACTTCTGCAATTCCAAGAGGTGCTCAAAGTGGTTACCATCAGTGTAATTTCAGTAGTTTTTTCCCTTCTTAAAATGTGTATACATTTTTTAGGTACCCTCTGTATTTGATGAATAAATGATTATCTATTGCAGTGGTTCTCAACCTTCCTAATGCCACGACCCCTTAATACAGTTCCTCATGTTGTGGTGACCCCCCAACCATAAAATTATTTTCGTTGCTACTCTATAACTGTAATTTTGCTACTGTTATGAATCATAATGTAAATACCTTTTTGTTTTCCAATGGTCTTAGGCGACCCCTATGAAAGGGTCATTCGACCCCCACAGGGGTCGTGACCCACAGGTTGAGAACCGCTGATTTACTGGGTGGTTGGAAAAGTCATGACGTATTTTTTCTATGTTTTTCGTTGCAAAAATGCATCATGACTTTTCCAATCACCCAATAATTATATTTATTTGTTAAAGCTATGTAATATAATAATCAGTGCAAAAACCAGACTTGTCTTCTTTGTGAAAGGTAGGCAGCAAACAACTACTTTAAATTAAATGTATATTTCAGGAAGAAAAAGTTAATTAGTAAATCACTGCAAAACAATGTTTACAGTATAGTTTATTTTCATGTCAAGTCTTCCTTTTGGAATTTAAATACGACTAATTAATAGAGTGGAAGAACCAGATGTCATCTGTAGGTCCACACCAGCAGACCTAAATAATACCTTGTATCTTTAATTAGAGGAGGTGAGGAGGGGTGGGAGTACTGAGTTATAATCAGTACTTTGGTGACATGGTTATTCACTGACCGCTCTAGCAAAAGCCAAACATATTCTATGAGGCAAATAATCAACAGGCAACAGAACTCTGTACTCAAACACCTAAGCAAGTGAATTTGAAGAGGAAAAAGACAGTAACACTGAGGAAAATAGTTACCAAAATGAGGACAAAGAATTCACAGTAGGGGGAAACTGGGTTTCTAAACAAAATACAGGGTCAACAATATCTAATTTATTAAGACAATACAGGAAATATACTACTGAAATCAACTTCATTTCTAATCATCTGAGCTATTTTGGTTCAGCATAAAGATAGTATCCAGGGTTACATCTTTGGGTCACAATGGAGACAAAAGTTGACTACTATTTCAAAGAGAGATTTTTTTCTTAAGAGTATAAAAAGGTGACCTACCTGACCTCTCATCACAGACATTTGATTTTCAAAAGTGGCTTTGTTAAATCTTTTGTCAATCTATCACAAAAAGGAAAAAAATATTACAATTCCAAAAATCAAATATTTGAAAACAAACTCTTTAACTTTGAACATAAGTTCTTTAGAAAGCTTTCCTAATTAATAAAATAACATGAAAGAGTATTTTTACCTGAGGTATTTTTGTATACCCCAAGAATGACAACAGTAGTTTATTTATACTATAATACAACTTGTTATATAAAGGATTTAAAATGACACTGTAGCCATGAGTTTAGGCTTTTTTGAGAGAAGTAAATCATAGCATGTTACCAAACATTTATTATAATTTTTATAGTCATTTTGTAAATATTCAACTTTTGAAGAAAACAACTTCTCAAGTTTTAATTCTCACTTCAAAAAATACTCGTAGTAAGTGTAACTTCACAAATTTATGCCTGTGTAGAGTAAAACTGCTAATTCCTTTCTGTTAATGTCAAGTTCTACCGCAAGAAGTGATACCAGAAGCAGTAAGCTGCAAATTAGCTCTATTAAGATAATCTCTTTGAGATTAATTTCATTTTCTGCAATAATTAAAACAAAAAATTTATTTACCTTAAAAAGTTCATAAAGATCTTCACATAAATCTTGCACGAAGTTCATGTCAGATATATATGGTAGAATCAAGTTTCTTGTTTCTTCAGAAAAAGGAACTTTTGCTTGAGGAAGCCAAGCCCAGTGAAATGGATCTAACAGAAAAAAGTATTCTTCTAATTAGTGGGAGAAAGGGTTTATTTGGACCCACATTTATCCTGATTCTTTTCCTACAATTCCTAGGTTATCAAAAAACAAACTGGGCCGGCCGAGTGGCTCGTTGGTTAAGAGTTGGCTCGGGAGCATGAGCTCTGAGCAG